GCTCTACCACTTGGAGCCACTCTCAGTCTTCTGTTGGGTTTAAGAAAGGATCTCATATTAATGCCCAGGACATCACAGAACTTCCTCCTACTTCCTGCATAGCTGTTGGGCTAACCAATGTGCACTACCACATCCACCTTTCTATTATACTTTGAGATGGGTTTCTTACTTTTCTGACCAGACTGGTGTTGAACCTTGTGCCTCCCAATTTCTAGCTACTATTACAAGCCTAAGCTACTGCATTCCTCGTCATTTCATTCCCCTTAGAGTCCTTCCAAATGCTGTATAGTTTTTCAATTGTAACTATACTTTTTTTTCTTTGAAGGAGAGTTCTCTGAATGCTAGATTGAAGAAATCCTTAGCGAATTTACACTCATAATATTTTTCTCCATTGTCTACCTGTAGAAATCTCATCTTTTAAATCTGAGACAGTTTATTTATAGTGTCTGTAAAGGATGGGTTAAAATGTATGAGTTTTGGCACAGATGTTATCCCCAAAAGAATTTGTTGTAGAGACTTTTCTTCATTTAAATTGGCCTTGATAAACATTATTTGTGAAGTCTTGGGTTTCACTGATTAATTTCTCCCTTCTTTACTCATTCTACACTGACTTAACTTAGTAACTTCTTTGTGCCCTTGAACAAGGCAGTGTGACTCTTCCAACTCTTTTCACCTTATTTCAAAATGAGTTGGGTTATCATTCTTTCTATTTGAATTTCCATTGAATTTTAGAAATACCGTAGCAATTCTTATTCAAAGAATCTCACGAGATTTTTTAAAATTTAAATTACATTTCATCTACAAGTTAATTTTGGAATAAGTGATATCAGCATCTCATGAACTTTCCAGTTCAAAAGTCAGGTCTATCTTTACATTTTTAAGGTTTCCTTTAATCAATGCTTTATAATTTGGACATACAGTAGATTGCATAACTTGTTAGATTAATGCACAATAATGCTTCAAGTTTTTAATGGTGTTCTTTATACATTTTAGGTGGTTTTCTTTAAATAGTTTTAGATGGTGTTCTTTATACATTTTAGTTTTTAGTTACACATTGCAAGCCTATACATGTATAATGAATTTTAAAAATTATTTTTCTCATATCGCACATTGATTCTAGTATCTTTCTCTAGATTCCTTTGTGATTCCTTTGTGATCTGTAAATAGAGATAGTTCAGGAGCCAAATCAGCTCAATCTCAGAAAAACTAGCATAGCCATCACCCCAGTCTCCATTTTTATGAATTGTCCCAGCTTATCAGCTCTGCCCCAAGGCAGCTTAGGCTGGGATGAAGTGGATGAGAGGCATTGGAGGTTTGTAAGAGTGCACCTCCTCAAATAGTATGCTAAGGTTTCATTACTTTCTGTCCTAAGGGGCTGTCTGTTTGTCTCAATAAACAAACTTTTCTATTGTCCTATGACTCATGTAAGCATCAGAGACCTTGTGACTCACAAGTCACAGCCCCGCTGTGTCCTGGGACTTGCTGTTCTTGGTCATGGCGATCTGGCTTCCTCCTCCTGTTTAGAAAAGAGTGATGTAACCAAGGTGACATTTGAACCCTGATTTCAGTCTTAACTCCTGCTTCGTGCTCTCCAAATGTCCCTGGCACCGTTAGCAGTGGGAATACCCAGACTCCTTCACAGAACCTGTGAATTCTTCACAGAATCCCTAGGATTCCTCTCGCCTTGCCCATCAAGTGCCTATTTTGCTGCAGGAAAAGATCGCTTCATTTCATCTGTGTGTGCATCATCCCTTAAGGTGTTGCTGTACATTCTAAGATTAACCTGCAGATGTAAAAGGTTTATGTACAAGAAATCACTGCAGCTTTTGATCACTTAATAAATTTGAGTCCGTCAAGAGATACCAGAATGGAAATTTGCCAGTCATCTTCAGTGAGACTGTGTGTTAGAGAAACAGCTATACTGGAAGATGAAAATGAAAAAAATTGAGTGACATGATTTCCCAGGTCTCTCAGGTCTCTGAAAATCCAAGTGTGATTCATGCATCCAGATAGTCAAGTCATTTCTAACTATTCATCTTCCAGCGCCTTTGTCTGCATTATAAGGTCTGGCCGCCAGGTGGCAGGAAGAATCAAGTTATAAAGACCATGTGTATTTGAACAAGATTGAAGTGTAACTGTTATTATAAGGATTTTTTTTCCCACTAATATTAAGATCACCATTTTAAATCATACAATTATTTCCTTTAATTCTATTTTTCAATAAATGAGCTCATCTCTACTCACAAAATATTTCCAAAGTGCAGGTGAATCACATTCTGTATAATTACACGTATTGTACAGTTTCTCATGTCTAACAACTTTTAATTTCTCAGTGACTAACAATAAAAATCCTACCATTTTGGCTTGTCAAATGGAATATAAAAATGCCTTTTCTAGCGAGCTCAGTAGTATTTCTTATAAAGTCTCTATCCACTATGTCAAAGAAATATTGTCCAAATTATAAAAGCTAATATTGCTTTGAGAGATATGGTGTTTCCTTGAAGCTTAATTTAGCCTTTTTAGCTTTCTCATTAGACAAAGCAAACTACTAAAGAACTGCTGAATGACTAAATCACATTTCCAGTCCACAGAGGTTTAGCAGTGGTAGTTTTGTATAATTTCCCATGTAGTCTTGTCTCCACTGTTCCAACAAAATCCTGTTTCTCAAAGTTTATAACTAACTCTACGTTCTCTTTTCAGAAACCATTCCCTGACTTCTAAACAGTGTGCTGACTGCTCATTTTGTAAAAAAAAAAAAAAAATTGCACATTTCACACTAGGAAATCTGATCTTGTCAGGACATGACAAAAAAAAGGTTATTTTGGGTTCAAATAACTCTGATTGGCAGCCTTCGTAGAAACTTTTGCATAGCCCAAGTCCTTTGGCTGTGAGAGAGGCAAGTAAATCTTTGATGCCAGGGGAGAACCATTTTTGATTCTTGCCTTCAAAACAAAGAGAACCAATTCATAGTTTCCTGGCTTGATGTGTTATTTTAAAAAATGACTCAAAGCAAGCACTGAAAACGCAGGACTTCATTCTGATTTGTGTGTAAACCTGAGATTGTCCAAATGGGTATGGCATAGTTGTCTCCGCAGAACCATTTTGGTTTGTGTGAAGCTTCACCAAATCATGATGGCGTTTTGGTTATCTAGGTTTGACTCTTTCTACCCCGGGTGACTCACTTTCTCTTTCCTGGGTGCACCAGTCTGTCCTGGCACAAGTCAGCAGAAACCCCACAGTGTTTCTGCATTTCTCTTCCCCTTATCACCCTTAAACATCAGACATATGCAATGAAATTACATCTTTTGCTCCTTTATCTGGAAAGTGTGCAATTCCTGAATCCTAGGTTTGCTGAGGTGCACAGATTATGTGGCTGTGACAGACAGCCAGGAACAAGCTGCAGCATGAATACGCAATGCTAGCCCAAGGCATGCACCAATGAAGAGAAATATACACATCCTCACCAGAGAGACTGTTCCTCATCCGCCAATACTTAGTGAATCAGACCCATGAAAGCCACTGGGCAGGGAATGTCTATATTCAGTCTAAATTATTCACTTTCAGTTTTTACTTTTATCTTGACAACCATGTAACAAAGTATGTTTCTTTTCTTTCCAAAACTGTGAAAACAGCACTTATCTCTGCATTCCCCACAGCCTCACAGAGTTGGAAACAAAGTAGGTGGATTAGCACAAAAGAATACTTCTGACTTGTTTTTACAGCATATACTATCTATACAAAGGAGTTTCGTTGGGATATTTCTATATATGTGTATAATGTACTTTGAACAAGTTCATTCCTTCTGTTATACCCCCCTACCTTCCTCCTTCCTCCCCTTTCTAACAGTATTTATCACCTTTCATTGTGTTTATATGTGCGTGTGCCATGTATATGCCACATATATCTATCCAAAAAATATGAGCTATGTACGTAATTCATATGAAATATGAGATATCATACAAAATGCTACATATGGTATGAAATACGATATAGGATTTTGATGGTATATGTATTGTGTATATGTGTATACATACATACAGTATTTTGATCATATGTATAAAGTGTGTCATAATCTATTCAACTTCTAATACGCTCTTCCTCCCTTCTGACCTTCCCCCATGAAATCACAAGTATTTTCATAGCGCATTTCAGCCTCAGGTTCCTTTCCCCCTTAGCAATATGTTCAATATTGGGAATATTCAAACTGTCTGATCATTGTCATTCACGTACGACTTGCCCCGATTATAATTATTCGTCGATGTCACCTCCTCCCTTTGGAGTTCTGTCGAACATGATGTTATAACGTGACCCTTCCTCCGGTAATCGCTTGTCACCTTCCCTGACCTCACTCGGAGCACACAAGGCGGCGGGGCATCTATGGAGATTCCACTGACACCGGTAGAGCTCCGAGCGCCCCACTTGTAAGACAGAAAGCCAAGCCTCGGTCCGGTCCCGCCCTTCCTCGCCCTGGGTGGGGGGGGGAAGGGGGAGGGAAGGGGGAGGTTAACTATGTTGGTCCCGGTATCTACAGCGGAGGCAGGATTCCAGACTCCAGAGTCCGCCCTGTGCTCGGGCACAGCCCGGGAACCTTATCTGTACCCTTCGCCCCCCGACACACACACACACACACACACACACACACACACACACACACACACACACACACACACACACACACACACACACACACACACACACACACACACACACACACACACACACACACACACCCGCAGCCGCCGCGGAGCTCAGCCGCGCCGCCGGGGGACCCGGTGACACCCCAGAACCCGTGGGAACGAGAGCGCACACCCACCCACCCACTGCTGCGATTCAGGAACGAGGGCAGCACTGCCAGCCAATCAGAGAACCTGCCATACTTTGGACCAACCAATCAGGGTTCAAGCTTCCAGCCAATCGGTTCTCTCACCGCCGACATTTCCACCAATCAGAAGCGCTCATCGCCGCGCTTCCGTTATCCTCTGCCCAGGGTCTCCGTGACTAGCTGCACGGCGCTCGTCGGCGGCGCGGTGACGCGGGGAGCCATGAAGAAGATCCCTGCTGTGGGCCTGGGCACTTGGAAGGTGACGCGGGCTTCCGGGCCGGGAAGGAAGCACGCCGGCTTCGGGGGGTGGGGGGGAAGGAGGGGGAGTTGGGCGCGGGGGACCCTCCCCCTGGGCTCCCTGCCCTGGGGCGGGGGGAAGCGGGGTTGGGGGGCGGCGTCTGGCCCAGCCCGCGCTATCCGGCTGGACCCCGTTTGTGCTCCCCGGGTGCTCCCGGAAGCGGAGGTCACTTCTGGGGGGAGGCGCAAAGGTCATAGGCTGCAGAGGTCATCTAGGAGGGCAGAGGTTACTCGGGGGGAGGGCGGGGGTCACCCCAGCACACAGAGACTTGTTGCGAAATCAGCGCAGGGCTTCACGCGTGCTAGGCAAGGGGTTTTGTCACCGGGATGCTTTCCTCGAACCCCAAAGAATCGTTCTGGTCCGGGACAGTTCACCCTTCCTCCGTGAACCAGGGAATGTTTGGGCAAAGCCTTGTCTGAGAATGGGGAGGGCAGCCAGGTGCGTGGGGAGAAGTCGGTGGATGCGGAGGCCAAGTCAATGATCAGTTCTTTAAAAGCAAAAGGAGGAAAGCCCAGAGGAGGGGCCTCAAGTCATGGAGAACTCTTGCAGAGGGGGTCCTCCGACTGGATGCCAGCGTGAAGACGGGGTGGCAGCCGCATCAAGGAGACAGGGAACGGTGAAAGTGCCGGCGTGGTTGTCAAAGAAACTTCAGAATTCCATTGGCTTCCCTGGAACAAGCTCAGGGGCAACTGGTACATTAGTGCTCCGTGATAGGAGCACTGGAGACTGTCATCTGAGCTGCCGTGCCAACTAAAAAGCCTTTTAAATGAACTCTGAAACACATGATAGTTAAATTTAATTCTCAGATAAATCACACAGGAGGTAATTGGCTAAATCCGAGTATACTCAGCCCCTGCTAGCCAAAATATAATGGACGCGATTTCTCCTCTTTGCTGTCCAGCTTCCAGGGGCCAGGGCTGTAGTTGTTCATACATGGTTTCAGCGGTTAGCCAGGGATGTGCACCAGATAGACATTCAGCCCATTCTTATGGCTGGTTCTGCAGAAAGAATTGGGAGTGGTCCCTTTTTTTTTCTATTTGACTGAAAGATTTTGTTGAATTGGAATCATTTCCTACACATTTTGTAGAACTCTGTGATGGTTTCCTTTATTTTCTAATTGCTTCATCACTTCAGCAGTTTCAGGACTAGCCGAATTGGATTTGCTTTTAGAATTACCTGATTTTTTTCCCTAGGATTTTTTTTTCCATTTTTACATCACTTTTTCCCCCCCAATTGTTGACATATAGTTACTGGTAATTTTTAAGTACTAGAGATTGAACATGGTGACAAGGTGCATGCTAGACAAAACACCTGAGCCATGCTGCCTAGCCCCTTTGTTTATGTTTTGTTTTCTGAGATAGGATCTCAGGGCTGACTTTTCCTGTGCTGACCTTGAACTCAACAATTCTCATTCCTCTGCCTTCCGAGTAGCTAGGATTATAAATGTGCACCTCTATGCCATCTTGTTTTCTCTTAAATATATTTTATCTCATATCCTGCATTGAACTCATGTTACTTTTACAAATGGACCTTCTCTTGACCAATCTTTCTAGGGGTTTCTATTTTATTAACATTCTTCAAATAACTCATATCTGGCATTACTTATTACATCCTATTAGTTTACTGATAACATTCTTATTTTCTATGACATACGATAGATACTTGCCTTATTAATTTTCAGCCACTCTGAGTTTGTTCCTTTTTACATGAAGATAATTGTACTGATATATTCATAGCTTTACAGAGAAGCTCAAGTAAAAAGAGACTTAGTGAACTAGAAATCTTCCTTTTTACTGATATTGTAAGTCTTCTCCTAGGAGTCATTCCCAAATTCTAAATCCTTTCCTTTCTAGAACCCAGTTTATAGTAATTGTTCTCTTTTCTGAACTTCCGCCTATATTACTTATGGCATTTAGTCTGTCTGGGGGTTTTTGTTTTCATGTTTTAGCTTATGCTCATTTGTGTGGTGGCTTGCCTTCATAAGCAAACACTAACTTTACAGTTAGCCTCCTGCTTAGTCTTTGAGTCTACTGGAAGGATCTTATATCTCTTGCTATCTCTTATTATTTATTCTACATTTTTAAATTCTTTTGATCATGCAGGAAGTATGGCATCTAGTACAATTTTCTGTTGGTACTAAAAGTAACTGCAGTGCTCCTCCCATGATGTAAAAGAGCTGTAACAGATTATCAATAAATTCCTTTCTGACTTTGATAATCTCTGATTTGGGGGAATGGGTACAACCAGTATCAACTTGGTGACTTAATGTTTTTGTATGTATTTCTTGATTCCACATCTGTGATGGAACGGGGAGGAATGTGGGAATGGGATACCCCACTGAAGAAGGGACACTTAGGTTTTGTTGGCTTTGCAGGCCTTGCCAGGAGAAGTGACCAATGCTGTGAAGATAGCCATTGACATGGGGTACCGGCACTTCGACTGTGCTTATCTGTACCACAATGAGAACGAGATTGGAGAAGCAATCTCCTCCAAGATCCAGCAGGGCGTCGTGAAACGAGAAGAACTGTTCGTGACCAGTAAGGTAGGGTCTTCTCAGTTACAAGGACAGCAGGGCCTTAGCCTCCACTGTCTTGGGCCACAGGAGAGGTAAAATAACTTAGCACGGAGGATTTGACAGTTTTCTTATGGCAGCTGGTGACTCTGCTTTGTACTCAAACCAGAATTAACAAGGACTTTTCACAAGTCTTACCACATTGTGTGTAGGTATATTTGGTTCATATCTTTTATTGCCATTGGAAATGCACAGAGATCCTCCAATAAACAATCCAATTGTGAAATATATTGATTGAGTAGTGGTCACTCTGGGTACAGTAGGCAATGGGCCAGAACTCTAGGCCATCATGAACTCTGTCTACACAGGAATTTCTAAACTCACAATCACATGGGGGTGATTAGTAAAACACAGATTCCACGTTCTACCCCAAATTTGCTGAATATAAAAAACTCTGCAAGTTGGGTAGAGAAGCTCTGCGAAATGGCTTAATAGAGAAGGCAGATGGAGTCCAGGCACCAGGCGTGAACCAGCCTGGAAGTTTGAGGAATCTGTAAGAAATCTGGTATTCCCACATCACACAATGGGAAGCTGAAGAAAGTAAGGAGAACTGGGGATTTGACTGGGTTCAGATCTTGAAGGCCTTAATGTGCCACATAAGGAATTTGTACTGTTTCCTAGAGGCTTAGAAAAAAAGTCAGTTTTTAAGCAGAGCAATTTATATTATATGGAAGCGAGTTGTGTTATCTGTGGAATCTCATACCTGCTGAAAGGAGCGTGCCTTTGAGACATTTGACACAGAGATGAGAGACCTGTTAAGGAGTATTAACACAGTGTAAGATGGGAGATGGTGAAGGCCATGATGGACAGACTGGCCAGAGATGGAGATGAGAAAATGGATGTGAAGGAGCTTTAAGAAGTAAGCCCTTGGAAAATGTACACAATACACCCATGATGGTAGGAAACAAAAGAATTTCTTTCCTTTTGAATTTTTCTCCTTTGAAGCAGCATGTCAAGGCCACAAGATGATTAGTCTCACATTCAAGTTCTAGCTGTCAGTACTTTTGTCAGCCTAAGGGGCATAGCAAGAGCATCTGTAAAAGGAAAGTTGGAGTTCGATCATCTCCTGAGTCATTTCTAGATTTAAACTTCTATAGTTGTTTCAGTGGTGGATTTGCCTTCCTATTTTACTTGGAAGTAATCCAGTGTTAACATTGATCCTTGTGACAATTTCATCATTCATCAACTTCTGATGTCTTTGTTCTCAGCTAGAGAATAGAGAGAAAGAAAGAAGGAGTGATGTATGCTTATCCAAGGAAAGCCATCATCTGAGGACAAGTAGCTTCTAAGAGGGTTATAGCCATCAGGAAAGTGTGCTCATTCTTTTGTAAATTTGGAACTGTCACTAAAATGTAACTAAAACTAGATAAGTCACTTGTATATTTATCACTCAGAGATCATTTTTGCTCACAGTGTGATATGTTTACTTCTAGAATTTGTCCTTTTTTTGTGTTATTAAATTCTGTTTGTCACTTATTTTTATTTTTTTAGTGTCTGCTCTTTTATAAAAAAATTTCCTCATTAGTTTTATTTTTACTTGTAACAGCTTTGGAGCTGACCTCTAATGTTAATAAAAATGTATTAGGGAAAATAATGAAGGGAAAAGCAATTTAGAATAGTTGTTATTCAGGAATGTGGAAAGAAATACACTAAATTACTATAAAGCAATATATTATATATGACATGTGATGTATAGATATATATAGATATATATATATATAAAGTTACCTGGTTTAACATGCATGATTATAATATCTTAGAACAACAGAGAACCTAGAACATGAAGTATGTATGACTGGAAAACATGATATAAAAATTCTGATTTTTTTTTTGGGGGGGGGGTCCAGTCATGGGACCTGAACTCTGGGCCTGGGCACTGCCCCTCAGCTCTTCAGCTCAAGGCTAGTGCTCTACCACTTGAGCCATAGCACCACTTCCGGATTTTTTCTTTTTGCTTATGTGGTGCTGAGGAATCAAACCCAGGACCTTATGCATGCAAGGCAAGCGCTCTACCACTGAGCCACCTTCCCAGCCCCCCCAAAAATTCTGATTTTTTTAATTCATACCTTTTCTGCCTGTAGGTGTTGTTTTTGCATTTTGTGGTCCCAGTGGATCCAAATAAGCAAAAAACCCTCCCATTAATAACTTCTTCTTCAAGGTAGCATCTTATCACTTGAACCACTTGAAAAGGCTTCCAGCCTTTTCCTGGTTGATTGGAGATAAGGATCTCTTGGATCTGTCTGTTTGGATTGCCTTCAAATCTGAGATCTTCAGCTCTCTTGAGAGCGGCTAGGATTATAGCCATGAGCCACCAGTTCGCAATTCAAATTATACATAGATATTATTATAACATCTCTGCCCTCCCCTCAGAACATCTCCCGGAGTCTTCACTGTTGGATTGAAATGTGGTCTTCCACATAGGAGCTCTGTGGGTCTTTGGGGATGCTTCAGTGTTAGCACTGAATGTAGCTTGTAACCATGGCCTCCCTTCTTTACTGTAGCTCTGGTGCACCCACCACAGCAAGTCCTCAGTAGAGTCGGCATGTACCAAGAGTCTGGAGGCTTTGAAGTTGGATTACCTGGATCTCTACCTCATACACTGGCCCATGGGTTTCCAGGTAGGATGATTAGATTTGCATGAGAGACTAGACAAATGTCAACATAGGAGGTAGTTCTGAAGCAAAATAGTTGCTACAGTTCATAGTGGAAACTTCCTGAAAAAAGTTAGAAAGCAGGCTGGAACTTCCAACATGTTCATTGTTTAGGTGTTATTACATGTGTGTTGTCTGTCACTTGCCAGCATATCATGACACATAGGCCATGATGGTGCGTGAATAAAGAGGATAGATTTCCATCTCTCCTGCACATGCTCAGAAGGAGATGGTACCTGAGTAAAGAGGATAGATGGGATTCAGTCCCTGTGCTTGCTCAGGAGAGCTTGATTTTTACCCTTGTACGGTATCTTTCTCCACCTTCTGCAGAGATGTGCATCTTTGCTTTCTTATCGTATTATCTCTCCTTACGATTGGAATTCTCAGAAGAGAAGAGACAGTCCCCACAGCGGAGTTGGGAGAAAGCTGTGTTCTTTTTTTTTTTTTTTTAATTTAATTTTATTTTATTTGAGAACATACTGTACAGAGGGGTTACAATTACATGGGCAGGATAATGCATACATTTCTTACCAAGCATTGCAGCCTCCTCCTTTGTTTACCCTTCACCTCCCTTCCCAGCCTCCCCCCTCCCTCCCACCCAATCATACCCCCCCCCCAACCGACATTGTAAAGCTGGTTTTGACATGACATTTTGTGCTTCTCATTGTTGCAACAGGTCCACCTGAATCCTTAAACGACTTGTTTGTCCCCATCTCCTCCACATGTTATACTGACATCAAATATAGTGAAAGCGGGGGTTACACTGTGGGGGAGGGACATACAAGAAAGCTGTGTTCTTAAGCCATGAAGAATCAACTCCTCCATCCCTGAAATCATGCACTTATGTAGCAGAGATTCAAAGCCCTCCTTCCCTGCCTTCTAGGAGAGAGAGAGTAAACTTCAAGGCTGGCAGAGCCTTGGCTGGCCATCCAGTTCATGGTCCTAGGAAAATGGAGATTGAGAAATCAGGACCGAAGCTTAGACCCCACTCTGCTGACTGGAGTTTTCCCCCATATTTTTGGATCTTTTTCCTGGTCAGACTCCCCCTAGAGGATGATGACAAATCCCCAATATACTCTTTTTCTTCCGGTTCTCACAGTCTGGAGACAAAGACTTACCTTTGGATGACAATGGCATGGTTATACCCAGTGACACGAACTTCCTGGATACCTGGGAGGTAAGCTAAGCCACACCATCTCGAAACGTCATCCCTGCCCAGAGATGTCCAGGTAGGAAACACTGGGAGACCTTTTAAGCTTTTTGTGTTCAAATTCACTTAAGTCTGTCTTGAGACACAGATGTGTCGTATGAATTGTGAGTTCAGGTATTCATATGATGAGTATATTTATGTCTGATCACTTTCTTGTTATCTTGACCCTAGTATGGTATGTCTCTCTAAAACATTTGAAGGATAATTTTTTTATTTCCCTCAGTGTTAACATTTTTTAGTTCAGAAATGTCACATTGATTTCAGTAAACATAAACAAAGACAAGGTAAAAAAAAAATCTTGTGTTTTCAACTGGGTACTAGTCATTGGCACATGTCTAGTTACTCAGGAGAAGTTTGAGAGGATTAAAGTTCCAAGCCAACTAGGGCAAAAAAAAAGTTCTTGAGACCCCATGTAAACCACTAGCTGGGCATGGTGATGCACTTTTGCCTCCTAAGCAATGTGGCAGAGCCCAATCCTGGGGGCTGAGTTTAAGTGGACTGCCTTTCCATTTCACAAGACCACTTCTCAGCAGAAAGAGCCGGCCATGGTGATGTGCACCTGTCATTCTAGCTATGCCAGGAAGCATAAGTAGGAATATCTCAGTCCAGACCATCTCAGTCCAACACAGTGAGATCCTCTCTCAAAAATAATCAGCACAAAATGGACTGGATGCATGGATCAAGGCGTATACAGCCTAGTTACTCAGAGAGGCTGAGCCTGGGCAGGAAAGTCCATGAGACTTAACTCCAGTTAATAACTAATAAGCTGGAAGTGGAGCTGTGGCTCAAATGGTAGAGTACTAGCCTTGCACCAAAAAAAAAAAAAAGCTCCATATAGCACCCAGGCCCTAAGTTCAAAGGGTAGAAAAAACAATTGCCCTGTAAGATAGGCAAATTATTCCCAGTTCTAGCTTAGTGTCCCCCACTGTTAAGAAACAGAACAGAGACAAGACCATGGCTGTAGAAATTCTTGTGATGCTTCAGGTAAAGTTTCGTAAATGTATTTTCTGTGACGTTTTCCCAAAGCTTCTGTGAAGTTGCTGAAGGAAGTGCCTTGTCCGTGGAATCCAGGCAGAGCTCGGGTACCCAGCAGCATTCTTCGTTCTCTTCTAGGCCATGGAGGACCTGGTGGTCACAGGCCTGGTCAAAGCCATCGGCGTGTCCAACTTCAACAGTGAACAACTTGACATGCTTTTGAATAAGCCTAATTTGAGGTTCAAGCCATTGACCAACCAGGTGTGTGCACTAGTGGCTTGAGTGAAGACATGTAGTTAGGCAGTGCTTTTGCAGGTGGAGCGCAGCCTGGAGGGCAGCTAGCCACGGGCGGCGTGTTTAGGAGGACGGTAGTCTCAGCAGACCCTCATTCCCACTGCCGAGAACAAGGCCCTGCTCTGCCTCTTCTAATGCCCTCAGACGGGCCTCAGAAAAGGAGGGCTGACATAACACCTACCAGGCTCTCAGACTGCCAAGATGGGGGTTCATATTCCTTCTGTTTTGTAATACAGAGAGAGTCTTCATGAGGCAGACCATTGCATTTATTCATCTAACTGGTTCTGTATGGCCAGGGAGCATTTCACAGTGTTTTATTTCACTGAAACTTTACCAAAAAGTTATTTTGGTAATATAATATATGATATATATAGTTATATATAACTATATAATATATAATATATATTATATCTAATACATAATTATATAATTACATAATATATGATTATATAATATAATCATGATTATATAATCATATATAACTATATATTATGTTATATATTACATATATTATATATGTAATATATTATATATTATATATATTTAACATATAATATGTAATATATAATACATAATTATATATAATATATTATATATTATAAATTATATATTATGTATCTAATGTTGTATTATATATTACATATAATATATGTTAAACATATATATTACATAGTTGTATATATAATGATATATACAACTTATACATATAACTTATATATGTTAACTTATATATAACATATATAACATGTGTTAACTTACATATATGTTATATGTAACATATGTTAACTTATATATGTTATATATAGAAAACACATACATGATATATGTTATATATGTTAACTTATATATGTGTTAACTTATACATATGTTAACATATGTTGACCTATGTTAACTTATATGTTATATATAAAATTATATTCATATGAGTTAATAGTTATATACACAAAACATTTTGATAAAAAGTATATATAATATCCTTTAGTATAATATATATATACATATGCAATTTGTATATAACTATATATTATATCATGTATCTTATATATAAATTATATATCATGTATATATACTATATATTATATATGAATTATATGCATGTATTTTAATATATATTTATTATATACACATATATGTGTGTATATATATATATATATATATATAATTCACATGAGAACAGAACTTAATGAATTCTTTTTTTTTTTTTTTTTGCCAGTCCTGAGGCTTGAACTCAGGGCCTGAACACTGTCCCTGAGCTTCTTTTGCTCAAGGCTAGCACTCTACCACTTGAGCCACAGCACTACTTCTATTTCTGTTGATGTGGTACTGAGGAATCGAACCCAGGGCTTCAGGCGTGCTAGGGAAGCACTCTACCACTAAGCCACCTTCCCAGCCAATGAATTCTTATAAACCAAGCCTCACACTATGGCCAGCATTAACAACATGAAACAGCACAAGGAATGCCCCAGCCACACCTTACCAACACTTCTCCTTTCCAGTCGGCATGCATGCCTGGCTTTGCGAGGGATAGCTGCTGTTGCTATTGACGTTCATGTAGTGATTCATTGTTGACCCCTTTGCCTGGGTGCCTTTACCCAGTGTGTGATTGTTAATGTCATCCATATATATGCATGTGAGAGCGCAGGTCATTCCTTCTTGTTTCTATGCACTTGCTCTTGTGTGAATAAATCAGAATGCATTTGGACATTTGGGACTGTTAAGAATGAAGAAGGACTAGTTGTGGTAGCTCATACCTGTAATCCAGCCACTCAGGAGTTGTGGTACAAGGCCAACCCTAATCAAAAGTCAGAAGACACTATCTGGAAAAAAAAAAAAAAAAATATATATATATATATATATATACACACATATATAATTGTAAAAGAATCACAAGCATGGCTCAAGTGCAATCCTTGAGTTCAAACCCTACTACCACACACAAAAAAGCAAGCATCATATTTTCCCCCAATGAATAAGATAAAAAGCTTTAAAATAAAATATGGCACAACATAGATCCACCATGAATCATAAAGAACACAAGTGGTCATACTCAGAAAACTCAGGCTCCCAAGCAAGAAACCACATTCTCAGCCTTCCAGAAGCTTCTGCATCCTGTCCTTGTCACCAGCACACAGTGCAGCCACCACCTGACTTGCAGTTTGGTGTAGCCTATTTTGAAACCATCATGCCCAGAATGTGTTTCTAGACAATAGAGCTCTTATTTTGTGTCGGTATCTTTATGTTGAGGAGCTCCTTAAATGATTAGGAATGGTTGTTGCCAGATCTAGCGGAAACAGACAATCAACAAATAAAATATATGAGGTGTCAACTGCCAGAATGTGTCATAGAGGATGATGAAGGGCAAGGGAGAGATGGGGGCTCTGGAATATGGCAGATGCCCTCTGGTGATGAAGGCCTCACCATCTGGGTGATGCTGAGCATTCAGAAGACGTCAGTGTCTAAACCGCAGACCTCTTTGGCAAGCGGCATATTACAAATGATCAAACCCAACTTATCCCATGGGGATGAAAACACCCAGGCTTCTAGAAGAACTCTGAGTCTAATCAATGACAACAGCCGAGACCTTGCTGTAAATCTTCTCTCGTGGAGCGGTGGGTCTGAATTTTCATGGTATCCGGTGATTCTGTTTGTAGATTGAATGCCACCCGTATCTTACTCAGGAGAAACTGATTCATTTCTGCCAAGACAGAGATGTATGTGTCACTGCATACCGCCCTCTGGGTGGCTCAAGGTAAGGATGTTTCAATGGCTGGGTCCTAGCAGGGCAGAGAAGTCTCCCCACATTTGGGAGATCTTCACTACGAAGGTGTGGAGGACTCAAAGGGTGTCCACTCCTGGACTGAAGGCAAGGAGCTCTGATGGAAGCCGGACCGTTACTTTGGGCTGCTCCGAACCACGCTGTGCCTTTTAAGGGACCACAGCCTAAAAGGATGGCTTTGTGGAACTCCATCTAGTTCATCTGTCAGCTGTTGATCACTCTTACAGGGTGAGTCTCAGACCTCACACTCATCCAAGGACGTGGAATTTGCACTTCACTCTTGCTAATCAACTGGGGAGCCCCCACCTAAGCCAGAAATGAATTGTGTCACTCTTCCCCTGCCTCTCCCCCTGCCCCACCTCTCAAGCCAACCCAACCCCAATATCTACCAGTCATTGTGCCAGAAGCTCAAATCTGCCCTCTGATCTCTCCTGTCACCATTTCTATTAATGAAGCAGGAATTCCCTAAGGTCCCTCCCAGACCCACCTTTCTTCTACTTCAGTCAAGTCTCCACTGGCCTGTCCTCTGAGGGCCTCTGGCTTCACGTCTCCCCATTCCCGCAAACCCCCGGTGCATTCACCCAGTGAAACGACTTGTGGTTGCTTGGATAGAATGTTCTTTCTAGTCTCTGTTCTTTCTAGTCTTTGTCTTTGCATACACCACTCTTGATAATCTACTTTTTCAAACCTAGTTTAACGCCCATTTCTGGTTGAAGATTGAACTCAGCAGATCCTCCCAAGAAGCCCTTCTGTAGCCCCGTCTTTGTATTTTGTGCCTAGCCCTCGTAGATCCCCTTGTCGTTGCTCCCTTCGCCTGTCCGCTCGATAAAGCTTCTTGAATGCAGGGCCCCGGCCCAGCCTCTTGCTCAGCACAGTGCCTAGAGATGCTGAAATGACTTCTACCTTATCATCTGTGTTTTCCCTGTGAAGGGAGGTGTGCAGATTTGAACTTTGGCAAAAGCTGGGTTGTTCCTCAAAAGCCAGGTCACATTCTGTGGCTGAGCTTTGGGGTAGAAGTGCCTCTGATAGCTTGCGTTAGGGAATCCATCTGGACTGCTGGCCTATGAAAGAAAGTGAGTGTTCTGTTTAGTTCATGCCAGACACTTTAAGGAGCATACTGAGCCCAGTGCTTGGAACCTATGTACTGCTTCATAGATGCTGGTTTGTTTATTTATTTATTTATTTATTTAAAATTAAGAAGTTGCCTCCTAATTACTAGAGCTTGTCCTTTTTCCAGGACAAATGTCATAGATCTCTAAATCTCTTATATAGACTATATATCTGCTACTGTGTATATGTTGTATATAGATAGATCATATAGTAAACATAGATTTTATTTGTTACAGTCCTTCAAATCATGGCGTGGTCTGGAACATGTTGAGAGGATGTGTGGAAAGTGATGACGTGCATGTGTGTGTGTGTGTGTGTGTGTGCGCGTGTGCACATGCACGTGTGCATGTGTGTTCCCCACAGTGTCATCCGTGACCATCTTCAGAGAGTGGATTTGGGGTGATGTGTTTTCCTGCAAAAGCAGGCATGGATCACAAGGGGAAAATACCAAACCTTCCATTGTGAAGAAAAGTTTGGTGGTTGATTAGCACCTTGGTTGGATTTTCTGGCTCACCACTCTGTGCTATGTCTCCCTAGTGAGGGGGTGGAGTTGATGGAGGACCCCGTGATCCAGAGGATCGCCAAGGAGCATAAGAAGTCTCCTTCACAAGTACGGTGCAGGGCAGGGGAGGGGAGGCGGCGGGGGTGGGGGGTGCGAGCTTGGGCTGAGAGCTTACCTCTCGAGGTCTTCCCACCGTGTCAGTTCCTAGGATGAGTTGATGGCTCGTCAGAGCTTCCATATTCCCATTCGCTCATGTCACACACTGTGGGTTCCTCACCTGTCAGTGCTCAGGACAAGTCCCTGGGCACTCCTCTCTGCCCCAGCTACGGGGACAGTGTGAGAGGCAGCCCCCAAAGGCCTTGGTGACACTCTTGTTCCTTGTTCTTATGTCCAGGTTATTTGGGTGGCAGGGGGTGGGGGGGCAAGAGGGGGAAGAGGGGCTGGGAAACATTAGGGGATTCTCATTAAGGTGTTAGTCATTACAGATGTATTGATAAAACCCCCGAAAGTCCCAGTTTCAGAGGACTTGGGTTGAAGGACACGCTGGAATCGGACCCGGATGTCAGAACTCACGTGTACACTGGAGATCATGTCGGCTCCCTCTGAATGACAGGCTTTTTCTCCCCTGCCTCCCTGCAGATTTTGATCCGATTTCAGATACAGCGGAAAGTGATCGCGATTCCCAAATCTGTCACCCCACGTCATATTAAAGAGAATATAAAGGTAGGTGCATTCCTCTGTCCATGTATTCATGCGGGCCCGCTCACCATCGCTAGCAGTGCAGACAGCACAGAACCCTCCCTGTCCATGCACAGTCAGCCTTCCCCTGCGTCCAAGCACCCTGACTCCCATCTATCAGGGGTCCCCTGGGGCCTGGTGTGGGCTCCATTCACTCCAACAGGAGGAGGAAAGAGGGAAGAGGGTCTCCCATGGGGTAGATGGTGATGAACTCCGCGTGGGAGCATGGACCCACTGCCACGTCACATGGCCACGCTTACCCTCGGAGCAAGCTGGCTGTGACCCAGTGGGTCTTCGGGAGGAGCTGGCTCATGGGTCGCTCTAGGGTAGTGTCCTTGTGTGTGTGTTGAAGGATTCCAGTCATGACTCCCGTTCAGAGATGTTTGAAAGCTGAAGTTCTGCTGGAACTTACTCCAAACTACGCTACCACCTGAACTCTTTGTGTTCAGAATTCCCATTTACACTCCACAGCCCATTTCTCTAGGCTCGGGGCCAGTTGGCTTCTAGGGGTGGATGCTAGGGCCCCACAGGGCCTCTCCCCTGGTGGGGGCATGTGCCCCTTCCTGCCCTCCTGAGCAGCCATGGGTGGTATTCATTGTGAAATGCTGCTTTTGTGAGGGGATACCCCTTCAGGGTGTGCAAGGATTCAGGCTGGGAGGGGGTAAGAATACTATCGTCAAAGGAAGAAAAGATGACTGCTAAGAAATCATGTTCTGTCATGTGGAAAATGCTAGAGCTCATAGTCTTGGGAACTGTGAGGCCTCTTAGTTGGGACAGCATGGAATAAATGGCCTCATCTTTTAAGGGGAAAAGACAGAGTCAGCGGACAAACTCTTTCCCACACCTCGTTCGCGGTCCCATTTGGTCTTTACTCCCAGATGTTGATGGCAGTGCACCCCTTATCATTCCTGAGTTTTCTTTAATATAGCTGGGGCTAAGCCAAGATCAGAAACCAAGATGGTGAAAGCCAAAGTGAGTGGTGGGGGGTCAATTCCAAGTTCCTTTTGTATCTCTGTGTCCCTCGTAGGTCTAACACAGTGCTGTGTAGGTGACATATGCCATTGGGAATGGAGCTGAGTTTCTTAAGAACATTTATTTTGGTTCTAGGTATTTGATTTTGAATTAACAGAGCAAGATATGAATGACCTCTTGGCTCTAAACAAGAATCTCCGCCTGGCCACCTTGCCTATGTAAATATATACACCCTCCCACACACACTTCCTTTTTAAAATACAAGGAGCAATGTAAGATCGGATGACTAGGTACCTTAGTAGGCTTTTACTATATACATTCCAGGTTAACTCAACCTGCTTGTCATAATTCTTTACTATTTGAGGATGGGCTATTGGAAAAAGCCCAAAACTACTTGTGTGTGTGTGTGTGTGTGTGTGTGTGTGTGTGTGTGTGTGTGTGTGTGTGTGTGTGTGTGTGTGTGTGTGTGTGTGTGTGTGTGTGAAGGCTGGCACTGTACCACTTGAGCCACAGCTCCACTTCTATTTTTTTTTATTTATTATTTGTGTTTCTTTAGTGGTTAATTGACATAAGAGTCACAGGTTTTTCTGCTAAGGCTGACTTCAAACCTCAGTCCTCAGATCCTATCCTCTTGAGTAGCTAGGATTATAGTCATGAGCCACTGTAGGATTATAGTTATGAGCCACTGGAGCCTAGCCCCAAATTAATTCATCTGCTAGAGAGTTAAAATGTTTCTCTTAAAAATAATCACTTTGTTCCGAGGGGTTGGTTTTTGTTGTTGTTGTTGTTGTTGTTGTTGTTGTTGTTGTTTGGTCTTTGTTTTAAAGTTGGTGTTCTGTTTTTCAGAAGTAAAAATCACAAAGATTATCCCTTCCACATTGAGTACTGAAGATGGCTTCCACCCTCATTTCTGCTCAGCACAGACAAATTGCAAAGCTTGAGTCATTGGCCAGGTAGAGCCTAGTTCTCTGACAAACCAGAGGGACTGACTGTGTTCTCAGTGTTAGAAAGACATAAGTGGTCATGAGGAAACGTGGCCACAAACTCCAGGGATCCACGAAGGAGTAAAGTCTGTAAAACCCAACAGGGTACTGGGATTTCTATGAGTCCATCTATGTGGCCACTACATTGAAGAAGAATATCGGTGATTGACAAATTAAATTTGCCTTTGCATTTTAAGGAAATAACTGAGTTATGGAATTATACAAGAGTTGAAAAGAATAATCATGATCCCTCGCTTCAATAGGCTATCCATCTAGAACCATTATGTTTTACCTTCCTTCCCCCCTCCCCCACCCCATCCCCCACACACACTGCCAGTGACTCATAGATGATCTTAAAGCAAAATCTGCCTGCACACCTCAAAAGGAAAGCTGTGACTGTTCACGTCAAGGACTCTGTTTACGGCATAGGAACTAAAACAAGAAGTGGTCTAGAATTCAGGTTTCGACTGTTCCAGCCAGGCCCCCAAATGATCAGGGGGGCGCTTGAATAGCGTTTCAAGGTCAAAAGTGAATTGGAACGAGTAGGCAAATTTGAAAGCATGGCATTCCTGCATAATGAGAATCAATCATTTGCATTTCATGGATTTCCTCAACCTACACAAAAACTGTCCGTTAACTCAGCCACCAGGTGGCGCATGGGACCACCTATTGCAAAAGGCACAATCACTGCACCTGTGAAATCATTGTAAAAAGCCAACAGGTAACAAAATTAGGAAAACTTAAAGAGTTTCCTAGAGCTTATACAGTCACACTTCTTATCAGTAGTTGCTAATTCCCTTTGCAAATGGTAATTAAGTGCTCTGTTTATTTTCGTTGAATTCTGAAATTGGAGTTCACAAAGCTCTTCTTTCCCTTGGTCTCTTCAGGTAATGTGATTTCTATGTATGTTCTTCTCCCCTGCTCTGGGATCTGCTGGAGCACATTCCGCAAAGGAAAGACAGACAGCTAGAACCCTTTTAAGCATCTTCCTATGTCAATTGGCTTGTTTTTCTGATGGCTTTTAAGACTGGCAGTTACTCATCTTAATACATACTTATCCCCTACTGGGCACTTTATTACTTTACAAGTATAAAAGTACCAAGATTAAATAGCAATTAAAGGCATAAAACCATGGAAGAAGACAACTTAAGAAGGTATGAGTTGATGATACTCAATGCATGTAGTTGTATGTGGACACACATTAAGGTATTTTCCCTGTGTGGGACATATTGATACAAGATACAGCCATCGTCAGGATCTGCCTGCCTTACTTGTGATAACAACCTGGCCATTTCAAGTGCCCCCACTTCGTAATTCAGTCTGTTGCATGCATGATGCCTGCTCTGGAAAATGTTATCTGAGGAGAGCAAGGTCATGTAGGCATGGACTCCTTTGTGAAGTTAAACTGTATTTCTCCCGATACCATTATCAAAACTAAAGGCATGAATTTATCTCTCTTATAGAGAATGTATCTCTTATAAGACCTGGCACAGGGACTTGCTCATGATAAACTGTGTACTTCGAACTCTCCAAACCATTAAGGGGGATCCCATATCAGTTTCCTGTGGCTGTTGCAACATTACCACCAGTTTAGTTGCTAAATAAATCCTTCACTTGTTTTCTTTTCAAGTTGCAGGGCTCAAAGTCTGAACTCTGTTGTTTATAGGGTTGTGTCCTTCTGGAGGACTTAGAGTGATTTTATTGTCATACTTTTTCTTGTTTGTGGGTGTGACCAACATTCTTTTGACTGAGGAAAACAGTGTTGACTTCTTGCTCAGTCAAAGCCTAAACCTTGCCAGTTCTTAGCTTGGTACTAAGATAAAAGTGTAGGGTCAAATCTGTAAAACTATGAAACAGACTCCTTAATACAATGTCTGATATGTAAGGTCGCTTAGATTTTTCCTTTGTTACAACTAAGCAATTTAGGGTAACTCTGAAAACTGGACAGTTGCAAGTTTTCCCTGTCTTGAACATTACCAAACATTAATAAACCTGTAAGTCTATTTCCCCAAACAGCAAAAGACCAATGTGTTGTTATACAAATAGACACTAGCCCCCAATTTCCTTGAACAGAGGCAAATTCCTTAAACTATCCGGGAACTGAGTACCTCCACCTCTTCCTTACAACAACCGTAGGTAGGATATGTCAAATTATCTATTTAATGCAAGGAAGTTGATACCAACTCTTTCTGTCCCTGTCTCTTTCTCTGTGTGTGTGCGCGCACCTCTCCTTGGTTTCTGTATGCTAGTCATATCCTTCAAACTTAATGAAGTGATATGTATAATTCTAGCAATTGTCAATTGCTTAGTTTTTCATTTGTTGTAAGTTTCATTTGTTGTAATTGCTTGATATAATATTTTATGGTGATTGCTATAAAATCATGTGCAAATAATGATTCATATAGCCGTATGTGACCACCCCTTTTTTTAAATTCATTTTGAGACTTTTTTCCCATGTTCTTGATGTAATAAATTTCATTGACATCTGGATATTTTTAGTATTATGTATTCACACGTTGTTATGTGTTAATTAAACTTTGACTCTATTTTAAAATGTAACAAAATGTATATTGCACAATAGTTACAGGAAAACTAAGAACTACAGACAAGTGAAAAGCTAGACTGAAAGCTTGAAAGTACGCCAAGGCCTTAGCACTTTCTACATTCATCTTACCTGTGATCACTTCCAAGTATGTTGGCATTTCAGATTCATTCAACAGGAAAACAACACCAAAATCCAAGAATATGACAGAGCTGCAAGGGGCTAGAATTGTTTAGAATACATCTTTATTTGGAGAAAAATATGAGATTCTGAAACTTTTATTTCCTCATACAGGAACTCAGCAGAATTAAGCTGACTTAGCAGCATGGAGTAAAACAGCTTGCTTCATATTCTTGAGTTGTTCTCTGCTCACCAACTAAAGTCAAAGAACTTTGAAGCACCCATAGAATGTTTTGTTCATTCCTCATCAGAAAATGGATAATTGGGGTGAGGAGAAAACCTGAAAGGTAATAGGAGAGTCTTGGCTAATTAATTGAATATAGGTTGGGCCTAGAGAAATTGAATTATTAACCTGGTATGACCTTGAAAATTAATATAGTTTTCTTTCTTTTTTCGCTTTTTTGCTCAAGGCTAGTGCTCTACTACTTGAGCCACAGCTCCACTTCTGGCTGCTTGGTGGTTAATTAAAGATAAGAGTCTTTCTGCCCAGGCTCAAAGTCTTTCCTATCCACGCTGGTTTTGAACTGTGATCCAGCAATCTCAACCTCACGGGTAGTTAGGAATTCAGGCATTAGCCACCAGTGCCCAGCTTCTATAGTTTTTAGTACAGAGATTTCAAACTAGTTTTTGAGCTGAAAAGTAAGCAGCTTTAATACAAAGTGACATCCAATGCAGACAATGGAAGTGTGAAGAGTACTTGTACTCAGTCCAGCACAAGCTACTTGTCTTGGTTAGACAGGGCCATGAGCCTTGGAGTAATTCTAGTCTCAGGATTGAGGGAAAAAGAAATGTGCAAAAACTTTCCAAAGCAAGAAATTCTCCCTTCTGTAGATTGTAATAAACTGAATTTCCCCACTATCCTGCTCCTCCCCCTTCTCTACAATAGAACTACTTACTCAGAATCTTCAAAATAGCGGATATTTCTGTTTAGACCATCAAGAGTTTGCATATCCTCTGGCGTCAGCTGGAAGTCAAAAACCTGTCAGAGACACAAAATGTCAGTCCTGAATTCCGGAGGCAATTACTATTGCTTTCCTTCCCTCCCCACAAACTCAAATACATGTGGAAATTTCTGCAGGTTTTGTGAGACAATTTTCATGGATGTGAGATTCTTTTAGTGGTGAAAATCCTGGGAATTTGCCAAGAAACAGGCGGTCTCATTTCCCTTCAGGGACATTTAGTGGGTGCCTGTGATTAAAACAGAAATCCCTCAGATTTTTTTTTAATCCAGATCAGATTCTTCCATCTTACAACATGCACTTTGTCTTCTTCAAATCCACTTTGTCTTCTTCAAATCTCATGCTGAAATGTAGTCCCAATTTTTAGTGACGTTAAGGAAGTGGCAAGATCTTTAGGAGATCCTTGACTCTCTGCCCTTGTGAAGTGATACATGCTAATTGTATGCAATAGGGTTAATTCTGGAGGCAGAGACGGGTTTCTCGATCTCTTTGTGACTAGATTACTTGATGAAGTAATGTGCACTTAAAAAGAGAACCTGCTCTGAGAGTTTAGTCCTTGTATGCACCAGCTCTTACCACCTTCCACCATGCTAAAGGCTCTGACCAGATACACTCACCCACTCTTGGACTGCCCAGCCACCATAACTATGAGCCAAAAAAACTTCTTTAGAGATTACCCAGACTCAGCAGGGCACCAGTGGCCTGTAATCCTAGCTACTCAGGCTGAGATCTGAGGATCTCCGTTCAAAGCCAGTCTGGGCAAGAAAGTCTGTGAGACTCTTATCTCCAATAAATCACTAGAAAACTGGAAGTGGCGCTGTGGCTCAAGTGGTAGAGTGTTCACCTTGAGCTGAAGAGCACAGGGACAGCACCTAAGCCCAGAGTTCAAGCCCCACAATCAACAACAACAACAAAAAAATTACCCAGACTCTAGTATGCTGTGAAAGCATGAAAATACAGTGAATCAAAGGATGATCTGATTAGAATTCAGGGTTAACCCTGCTCTTCTATTTAGTATTCCTTCCAATCACTACAATCCCTTCTTTGTAGTAGCTGGAAGACCATTAAATACAGTGTTTGTATGCCTGGAATGTCCAAAGCAATAAGCTGTGCACAAACATGACTTGAGAGCCTCACAAATTACAGCCTGCCAGGGAGAAATGAAATGGCTCCTGGAGTTCCTGTAGCCCATAATCTTGTGAGGTACAGTACCTGGAAGTTCTCTTGCATTCTCTTCTCATTGAAGCTCTTAGCAAGAACCAATAACCCTCGCTGCAACTGGTAGCGCAAGGCCACCTGGGCTGGGGTTCGCCTGTGCTTTTGAGCAATACTATTGAGTACTGGGTCTTCTAAAAGAACTGGGTTGTTCTTGTTTACCCTGAGAAGAAAGGCAGAGATGTCTAAGAATGAATATTTTATTTTTCTCAGGGCTACGCATTCAGGCTGGTGATGATGAATCATCTAGACTATTCTTTTTTTTAATTACCCTATGTGTGTTTCAATATCTATTTTTCTTCTCTTGACACCTACAAAAATGAAGGAAAGAAAGGGGAAAAGTGGGTACTTTTTAAGTTTTAAAGCCTTTCAGAGAAATGTTGTAAGGGAATTTATCAGAAAGACAACTGTCTGTCCAGTTTGACTCAAGAGTGACTGCCAGAAGTTACTCTTCTGGAATGAGCTGTGGTGGCTGAATTTGCAATTTTTTAAATGGCTTACTGCGATTTTGTTATTCATTGATGGTTTTAATGAGTCTTTTCAGTGTAAGTGAGAGCTAGTAAAGATTTACAAAGATGAAATATTCCTTCATGCTTCATTTCCTCTACCCTGCTGAGTGGTGACTAGAGAAGGTACAGTATCTAAAGTTAAAACATTTCCATAGAAATCTTTACCATTCCTTGTCTGTGTTGGAACCCAAGGCAGCATATGCAACCATGACAATGTCTCTGACCTTGCAGAACTCCAGAAGCTTACTTTGGTTGAGGTAAGGATGACATTCCACCTGAAGAGTGCCAAAACAAGTGTCTATCAGTAAGCTAGCTCACAGAACCACCAGTGGGAAATTGACAGGATGTGAAGTGGCTATCAGTCATCTGCCAGCTCAAACTTTGGGGTATAACCAAATGCTAGCTTCAACCAAGGCTCAGATATTTTACCTACATGGTTCTAGGCACTTAAGTCTCTGTATTTGAAGTACATCTAGGTCTCGTTCAAAGTTGCATGAATGTTGAGTGTCATTAGTGTCTAATTAATGAAAGAGGAAGCTGAGGAACAGGGGATGAAGAGACTAATGGGACAGAAGGATGGGGTTCACCTGGTTACAGACTGGCCTATGCTTGAGTCCTGGCATGTTCAGGATCATCTCCAGCTGCCTGCGGTTAAAGTTGGACACTCCAATGGACTTGGCCAACCCCGCATCCTTACACTTCTCCATGGCCTGCAAAGAAGAGCACTGTGAGAAGTAATCTGTGTGATAGGTGAAAGAAAAGTAATCAATGTGAATGTGCTAGGGGAGAAGTGGGGGGAGAAAGATGCAGACATCTATCGATCAACAGGAACTCACCATGTCAGAGAAAAAAAGCATAGAAAAAATAGGGAAGAAAAAATAGGTCAATAAGATACTAAAGAACACAGGACAAAGATAAAAAGCCAGAATCTTCTTTAGTGACTGTCTAGGAAATTTTGAGCCACGGCAAAATGTGTGCCCAGACAAAAAGGAAGTGAAACTGAGTGTGTCGCAGAAAGTGACCATACCATGAAATAGATAAACAGCTTCACTTCCTGCTAGTAGGAAATGTGTGCCCTGGCACCCATGCTCCTTGAGGTTCTTTGAACATAGTCATGTCTCTGCCCCTTAAAAATCTCCATCGTAGCTACCTTTCTGCTCATCATCTCTTCCCTTTCTAAGTACTCACATAGTCAATTCCCCCATCTATGGAAATTCTTTGTCCAAATGTCATATTTTTAAAGGCTTCTACCCTTTCATTCCAGTTTTCTTTTTATATTGGCTTATCTGTGTCTTGAATCCTCCCTATTATTCTCAGTCCCTTACAAACCTCTGCCCCACACACTACTTAAGACTCGCAAAGAGTCAGAAGCCTTCGTTCTGCTCACTGACATTTCCTGAGTGCAAAGGATACTGCCTGATGGATGTGCTGAATGATTAAATCAATGAAGTGTGAAAACAGAAGGACATTCAGAAACTTGCCCTCGTAGAAAAGGAAGCATTGGGCTGGGTTCCCCGCCCCCACCCTGAATCCCTTGTCCAGCCTCTCTCTGCTCAAGTCAGAGATGTGGTTTCTCTGCAGTGCACTCACCTCCCATGTGCTACAGAGATTCACGGCATCAAAAATCAGTTTCCCCTGCGAATCCTTTGGGAAAATCTCCTCTCCGGGCTAGAATAGAGGAAGGAAAGGAAACTTTGTGCAGGGGTCTATCTGGCTCACCCAAGCTCTTCCAGACACATATACCCTGAAACTAGGGAATAATTTGTTTTTAAAGGATTTATCAAGTTAATCTAGAGGCAAAGAAGCAGACGTCTGGAGATGTTTTGATGAATAAAAACCAAATAAATAGAAAGAACTCTTCTCAAGTAGTTCTACATTTTTCTTTCTTGCATGTGAAAAAAAAGTATACTTTTGTGTCAAGTCCATAATACCCACAAACATGTCCTAGATAAGACCTAAGGCAGTATCCTGCACAGAGGGTTCTTTGGTCATGGACCTCTGAGGAAAAAATCCTTTCCCTCCTTTGTCAGTGAATTGTCACCACACCAAATGCTGAGCTCACTACAATTTCTGACCTGTAACTGAACAGTACAAGGGCATTCCCCAAATGTCAGTGAACATGGGAGAAGAGATGCAGAAGCATGGAAGCATGGAAATACAGGCACTACATCCACAGGATCAAGGCAAAGACACGGTGAGGAAGGAATTCCTAGCTCCCTGGGACTGGTATAGTGAATAAAGGGGTCACAGTTTCAGAAAAGAGAGATTATTATGTAATGTAATCATTATTATAATTAATATAATAATATAATGTTATAATTACTACATAATGTATATATTTTAATATAATAATTGTTATGTGTTATTATGTTTCTTTGGAGGGGGGGCAGGGGTTGGTCGTGGGGCTTGAACTCTGGGCCTGGGCACTGTCCCTGAGCTCTTCAACTCAAGGCTAGTGCTCTACCACTTGAGCCACAGTGCCACTTCCTGTAATGTTTGTTATCCACACTCTGTGCTCACATTTATGCTAATTTTTATGCTGATTATCCAAGTCAAAACAAAAGACCTCCCCCCAAGAAATTAACCAAATAAATGAAAAGGAATTTCTTGCTCACCTTCAGAGGTACTGGGAAGTGAATAAGGTAAAGGTCTACATAGCTCAACTGAAGGCTCTTCAGTGATCTTTCCAGGCCTACTTGAACCAATTCTGGACGGCAAAAGGTGCTCCACAGCTACGGTAGTAGAGAGAGAAATGGTATGGCATTTAGGGATGAAGGTGCATTGTACTCATATATTACTTTGTTGAGTGGCAACTCCTTTGTACAACTACTTCAAGGTAAAAATAAAATTCAAGAAGAAGAGTCTAGTTTAGGACCAGTTACTAATGTAGCAAGCAAACAGTATCCACAAGGAAAAACTCTCTCTTGTAATAGTTATACCCACTGAAGCCCAGGGATTATCAGTGTTTAGGATGTTCAGACTGAATTGAGAGAACACATACAGAAAATGAATGTCTGGCCCTAGCACCATGATCCTAAAATGCTAGAATGTAAAAGAATGATCTGCTTTGCTTATATAATACTTTCCTGGGTTCTATCCATCAAAATACCTGGAGAATAGATTGAGAAATTACCTGTGAAACAAGAACCCCATGTAAATATCATTCAGGAAGGTTTTTTTTTCCATACAGTAAGAACTTATTTGTGGGAACATTAGTCTCTTCATGTTAAGAAGCCATCAGTTAAAAGACAAAATGGTTTTAAAAAAATCATTGCATAGGAAAAGAGATTCAAAATACAAGAGTGTGGGTTGGGTAGCTAGAAAGCATGTAAAAACTCATGTGGCCTAGAAGGAAGAAAAGTCTCTGCATACTCCATAGACTTGACCTTGCTTTCTGGGTTCCTGACCTCAAATTTAGATTGCTTTACTTTTTTTTTTATGTTATGTGTTGTTTCATTTCAGTTTTGTTTGCTTTTGTTACTGTTTAGCAATGGTGGATGCAGAGAATCGTAAGGGGGAAAATCACCTATGAATTTTTTTAAAAGACCACATAAACATTTTTACAAGCACAAACTCCATTGTCATATAACTCCAAGCTATTTATTCCCATTTCATGAGGGAGAGAAATATTGACCATAAAACAGATTGAAATATGAAGACCAAAGTGCAAAGATCTCAAAACCTTTTTTTTTTTTTTTCATTTGGAAACTTTGTACTAAGTCAAATTGGCAGCGGAAATAATAGTTAAAAATTGATTCTTGTTTTGTTTGGTTCCAAAGTCTATCTGATGAATTTACATTACCTCAGGCTAGGTTAAGATATGTTAAGAACATAACAAACAGCTAAATTTCAAATTTTTAATACAGGTATACTTACCCCAATTCTTGTGTTTAAAAGATTATCTAGCAATAATATTTTAGCACTTGAGTATCCAAAATGTATTTTCTTTCCAAGAATTTTAAACAAACCTTTTGACAAGCCATTCAGAAAAATCCTATGAGGTAAATAATATTCTTCATTTTACAGCTTGAAAATCTGCAGCATAGAGTTTAAGTCTAAGGCCTCATGTGTAATAAGTGCCAGAGAACTGGATTCACAAATAGAAATCAGATCACCAAATCCACACACTTAACCAGGTCCCTTGGTGTTTTGCCAGAGGGAATTTTTTAATAAAATCAAACTAATGAGAAGAGAAATAATCAGAAACAAAGCCATCTATTCTACTGATAGAAAGCTTTACCCTGAAGCAGCAAATACAGTATGTGCAATTGTACATGGCACCTTTGAAGTATAAAATATGTCATCCCTTTTCACAGTGCCGTCAGCAATCTTCTTCCGGATGGCAGATCCAATCTCTTCTTCATTTTGGTAAAGAAATGCAGAGTCAATATGGCGGTAGCCTACATCAATCGCTCTCTGAACAGCCTCTTTTATTGTACTCTTGGCAACCTAGAAACAAACACATAAAAGACTTCCTACATTCAGCAACAGCTGATTTATATCCATAAGCACAACAATGCAAAGAATTTCTTGTTTACCTCCTTTTTATTATTTGCTAGGATGCTAAACACTATTTCTTGTGAGGAAAGATAGCTATGATATATTGAGTAAAACACAGAAATGAAAATGCAGTTGTAGACCATAAGCCTTCTAGTCTGAATATAACATGCATTTTATACATGTAAACTGTATGTACTTTCCTATGTGTATAAAAAATAGGTAGCTACCTAGATGTTGGTTGTCTATAATGTTTACAGCCATTGTGTGAGGTTGCACTGAAGTTTATAATGCTTGCCAATTTCTTTGCTGCAAATATTTCCCACCATGGCCAATTTGAAGCTTCCAAATAATAAACAATGCTCACAGTTAATGCTTTGAGTATTGACCAAGAACAATACTGGCTTTAACTTTCTATCTCTGAAATTACACTATCTGTATGATATATAGGATTTTGGCTTTAACTATCTATGAAATTACACTATCTTTACAATATATAGGATCTCATAATCTATAGATTTACATTTCTCAATTAATTCACTCTATGCCAGATTATTAAACTGGTAGCAACCTAAATGCATTGGCTATCTATTAATTCAAGGAAGCTTAACATCAGACTGCATCAATTGATCATATACCTATCTAAACTTGGAAACATACTTCAAAGGAACATGTCAGGGACAATAAAAATGTGAAAGAAACATTTTTCATTCCTAAATCTCTCCTCACCAATTCCTTTTGTTGTGGTTGCTAGCACAGGAGGCCTCCTGTGACATCTCCTTTGAAGTGTTGATATTTTTCTTAGCTGCCTACTGTTCTACTGTTTTTCTCCATCTGTTGTTATTCACTGTACTTCACTACCTAATTAAATGTCTCTTCAATAGGACTTTTCATTTCCATGTCATTATTAGTTAACTGAGTCTCCGGAAGGCGTCTACCTGACTGTCCTTTTTTTTTTTAATCCTTTATTTACAATTGAAAATTTAAACAGATAATCTTGGTTCTAGTCTGTGCACTTCCATGGTCTCTTTATCAAATGAAGTGGTAGCAGGTAGGGAAGCAAAACCAAGAGCCACAAAATCATCCAGGGCAAGGGAAGTCCTGAATCAGTCTTGTTGCCTGTGGTAATCTCACAATGTGGGGAGATGTAGTACCTGACTGTCCTTGATTCAAGACAAGACAAACAGCCATTTGTGCCAGTCTCCTCCCTCACAGTCCTGAATGTAACACACCAGACACCCATCTTGTCAGAGCATCAGTCCCATGACTTTAACAGTCATGGCCTCCGTCATAAAGCACTAGTAGGTTGTAACTGAGGACCTTGGCATCTGTATGAACTTCAGTCTTCCAAACACAAGGACAATTTCCAAGTGCTTGGCTTTCCTCATGGCTTGGCCTGAACTATCTAGCCACTCAAACACTGTTCCTACCCCAGACCACCAGAACTCTCTTAAGTCATTTCTCAAGGTTTCTTGGCCATAGTCATTTTGTTTTGTTTCTGGATACTGGTGCATGAGGAGACACTGAGTCTTAAAAATTACTAAGACACTCATTTCCGAGTAAGCTAACTATGAATTTCTGACATATGGAAGTCAAGACATATGGAAAGTGAAGCTTTCGCTTATTCTCATAGATTATAAAATGGCTAAAATTGGACACCAGGTACAACAATTGAAAACAGACTTATTCATCCCTGAGTTACTGAATAACTTCAACTGTGATCCTTGGATAAACAAATCACAACCAATTAGAGATGTGATGTTTAAATCTTAAGCCCTTATAACAACATGTTTTAAAGAAGATCCTCTAAAACATTGCATATCTATAAAATTGGCAGAGCATTAAATTTGTATCTCTATAAATATGCAACATAACCTGGCGGGAAGTGTCCTAACAAATGAAAAAGAGGAGGTCCTCATGAATTCCCCAAACCAAACAGCAGCTAGTGGCTAGAAGCCAGACCTGCTAGTCCTCCATCTCCAGCCCATTACCTTATTAGAAGCAGAGGTATTAGAATCATTAACTTATTAAACGTATGATCACCTTATTAGAAGCAGAGGTGCCCAATCCCAGTGCAGGCATTAAATATCCATCACTCAACTTTACAGAAAGGAGTTTGCTCATCTTTCACTCTTCCAACCAAATGCACACACAGGTTTCTTCTTGATTTATAGAAACCTGTAAGAGGAAGAGGAAAGACTGTTTTGTTTTTTGGAAGACCCTTAAGAAGATATAATTCAACTACTATGAAATTATTCCCTTTAAAGTCCACAATTGAACTGGGCATGCCATCCCCTGCCTGTAATCTCATGTGGGCTGGAATAAGGAACAGGTGATCATAACTAGAAGTTAGCCTAGGTGATATCATCTAGGCCTTATCTTTAAAAAAAAAACAAAAATAAAAACATAAAGGCCCCTGGGTTTGACATTCAGCATCACAGTAGTTAAAAGAATAAAAACCCAGTCCACAATGTGGTATTGATTTGTATAGTTAGCACAATAATAGGCAAATTCAATGCCTTCTCCCACGAATTGCTTCAGCTAGAACTTGAAGTACACTATTTAGTAGAGCCAGAGTAGGCTTTATCTTCCTAGCAGGTAATATATTCACTATACAATAAGCAGGTAATATATCTCAATTATTTCTGCTTGTTATAGATCTATACAGATAGTGCATTTTTCTAGTACATTGCATTTTTTAGGGAATTTGTCATTTTATCTGAGTATTTTTTAAGAGGCAGGTGTAGTGTCTTCTCTTTCATTCTTGATTTGGTAATTTTATTTATTTTTTTAATTAGTCAAATTCAAGGTCTGTGAACTTTGTTCCACCCCCTCCCCCACTCACATTTTAGTTTCATTGAATTTATTTTTATAATTTTATAATTCTGGTCAATTTATTTTGCCTGTAACATTTAGAATTTCCTTTCTTTGATTGCTTTGATTTTAGCATACTGTTGTTTTCTTAGTTTCTTAGGATACATGGTGTTGGGTGATTGGCTTCAAGTTCTTTGTCATTTTGATGTATTTTTACATTTATAACTTTCTCTGTAAATACTGGTTTTTGCAGCATCTCATGGGTTGTCATGGGTTATCATTTTTAATCATTTTAAAGTACTTTATTTCTCAACATCAACTTTTTTGCTATATTAGTTACCCAATCTTGTGTTAAGTTCCATAGAAATGGCTTTTCTTCAAGTTTCTTCTGTGAATATTTTAATATTTCATTACTTTCTGGTAATTTCTTTTGGATAGATATCATTTCTGTTAAGTGTGTTCAGACTTGTTTTGTGGCTTAACCTATGATTTATCCAATAGAAGTGATCCATGTGTGCTCAAAAGCAAAGTGAGGGAGGGAAAAAAAAACAAAGCTGGACATCAGTGGTTCATGCCTATAATCCTAGTTACTCAGGAGGCTGAGATCTGGGACTTGCAGTTTGAAGCCAGCCTGGGCAGGAAAGTCTGTGAGACTCTTATCTCCAACTAGCTACCAGAAAACTGGAAGTGGAGCTATGGCTCAAAGTGGTAAAGCACTAAGCTTTGAGCAAAAAAGCTCAGGAGTTCAAACCACAGTTGATTAATATTCTATAACTGTTTGTTGAGAGAAATTAGTTGATACTGTTGTTCAAGGCTTTTATAATCTCGCTTATTCTCCAATGAGCTATTGCATCCATTATTTAATTCTGGGTATTAAAATCTCCATATTTTATTATTGAATTGTTTATTTCTCTCTTTAATACTGTCAGTTTCAGGTTCATATATTTAAGAGTTCTGCTATTATGTGCATATGTGTTTCCAGTTGTTCTTTGTTCTTGGTTACCCAGGCTGACCTCAAACTCATAATCATCCAGCCTCAAGATCCATGGAAATACATGAGAAATTTTTGAAGATGAAGATAATTTGTTAAAATGAAAATTGTCACAATATATGTATATATCCATGCAACTTACTTTCCAACAGTTTAAATTTGATACAAATATATTCAAGTGTATAAAAACATGAATGACAAAAGTTTACATAAAAGGAAAACATGAGGAAAATATGTTTATAGGGCCTTGGAATTTAAAAAGAAATAAAAAGTATATTCTTAAAAAGTTAGTATTTGACCAGGCGCTGGTGGCTCACACCTGTAATCCTAGCCACTCAGGAGGCTGAGATCTGAGGATCACAGTTCAAAGCCAGCCCAGGCAGGAAAGTGTTGAGACTCTTATGTCCAATAAAACCACCAGAAAACTGGAAGTAGCACTGTGGCTAGAGTACTAGCCTCGAGCTGAAGAGTTGAAGGACAGCACCCAGGCCCAGAGTTCAAGCCCCACAACAGACAAAAAAAAAAAGTATTTGCAAAAGATTACACAAAAATATCAGTGTCATAGAATATAGACTTCAGAATTACCTCTTATTTATATGAGAATTTGAGATATGATTTACCTCAAGGAAAATAGGATAAAAAACTCCCTTATACATGGTATATAAAAAGGAAGTCCACTATATAGATGATATAAAATTTAATAAAGAAGAAATAAACACTCTTAAAAAAGACTTGAAGATACATTCTAAAGCACAGCCTAGGGTCTGAAACAGCCTTACCAACAGGCAAAAAAATCAATTTTTATGAAAAAAAAATCTGAATGCATAAAAAATAAAACTATCATTTGGCAAAATTTACTATTAACATAATAAAAATAAAATAAAATTGGAAAACCTTTATAAACCAAATGGAGGTTAATACTTTCATCCTAAGATATCAAATATTGATCTGTAACTAACAAATTTTTAATTAAGTATTGTCTAAGATGCAGAAGAGTTTCTCACAGAAGAACAGAGCTGAATGACCACAGCATAGGAAAGGCTGACTAGTTTGACCAACAGTCCAGGGAAAGCAAATTCAACTAACAGCAATTTCTTTTTAGAGCCACATAAATGACAAAAATTAAAGATTCATCTGATTCATTGTGGGCTAGAACGTGGATAAGAAATTCATATGCACATGATAGAAATGTGAAAATCATCTGAAAAATCTATCAATAACTACTAAGACTACATTTTATATTCCATGTGATCATGAATCCTGCTTTCATACAAATGAAACCTTCTGCATACATACATTACATATGTGCAGAGCAAATACTGAATAAGTATAGTGCATTGAATCCATAGAGCATTTGCTCTTTAGAAAACTGAAAAGCACTCTGTGTGAGACAAAGCAGTAAATTAGAAAACAAGTTTGTTAAAACCTGACCAAATGCTTTCCATATTTTTATGTATAAATATGAACACATATTTAATCATACTCCATGGCCATAGAGGAATATGGAAAGGCCTGAATGATCCAGGTGAGTTACTGAGTAGAAAAGGAAGGGCAGGGCTGGGAAGGTGGCTCAGTGGTAGAGCACTTGCCTTGCATGCCTGAGGCCCTGGGTTCAATTCCTCAGCACCACATAAGCAAAAATGAAAAAAGCCGGAAGTCCCGCTGTGGCTCAAGTGGTAGAGTGCTAGCCTTGAGCTGAAGAGCTGAGGGACAGCGCCCAGGCCCAGACTTCAGGCCCCACAACCAGACCCAAAAAAAAAAAAAAGAGAGAGAGAAGCAAGGGCATGAAGGGACATGCAGAAAGAAAAACAAATCCAATAAAAATGCGCAAAAAATTGTGCTTTTATATAAGAAACTTTACACTTACGATATGAAAGTTAAAATTTTAGTGACATTGGATTAGAAAGCCAACCACAAAGCCCTAGTGTAGCCACTTAAAGGAAAATTTACAATTTATAGCCAAGTAGTAGGAATGTACACACATAAACAGAGGAAGAATTCTTAGCTTTAGAGAGCTGGTTTTCTCCATGTAAAGATTTTGGTTCTTACCTAGCAGTGGGTGTCTAGTGCATGTCAAACCATGAATAGGAAAATCCTGGACTTCACAAGAAGAGGTGAAGCAGTTACCCAATGGACAGTGGGAAGACTGCTAATGGGTTATCTGCTTATTGATCTTCCAATGCCAAGCTTACCAAACAAGTTAGTATTGATTGCCAACTGTATTTGTGTTTTCAAGCCCCTCTCCTATGCCACAGTTAAAGTTACAGATTGAATTACATTTTAATTTGGGATCTCTGTGTATGATTAGAGTTTGACTCAGAGCCTCGTGCTCTTACTCAACATTTTTACTCATGGCTGACTGTGCTAGCACTTGTTTAACTGTGGGTTGAGTTAGAATTTTGTGCCCTGGCTGGCTTTAAATTTTGATCCTCAAATATCAGTCTCTTGAATAATTCAGAGATTTTTTTTTGGGGGGGGGGGGTTGTGGGGCTTGAATGCTGGGCCTGGGTGCTGTCCCTGAGTCCTTCAGCTCAAGGCTAGCACTCTACCATTTGAGCCACACTGCCACTTCTGGTTTTCTGGTGGTTTATTGAAGAGTCTCACCTACTGTCCTGCTCAGTCTGGCTTTGAACCGCAATCCTCAGATCTCAGCCTCCAGAGTAGCTATGATTACAGACTTGAGCCACTAGCGCCTGGCTAAATTGGGGATCTTTAAGATAGAGAGTACTTATCCAAAGATTGGGAAACACATATGATTGGGATAAAGGTTACTAATAGGTCCTTGGAGGTACAGTGTACGCCAAGAAACCAGGCATCAGAAATGAGAGAGGGGAGGGAGGCAGGGGAGATGAGGGAGAGAGAGAGATAGACTCGAACACCAGTATATTAATTTCAAACCAGGATATTATCCAAATAGGTTTTAATTGGGTTGAAATCAATAAAGCAAAGTTCCAAGAGATGACGCAGTGAGTGAGAGTTGAAGGAATCACATAAGATTATAGAAATCACTCCATATAAATGGAACAATACTGAAGTAAGCTTAATTGTAAATAGTAGAGAAAAGTACACATCTCTGAGGACTTCAATGCTAAAACACAACACTTCCTAAAATTTGAAAACCTGGGCATATCATATTCTTTCAGGAACTGGCCTAAATCTGATATGGAAATTCAGGATTTACCTAGAAAATAAATCTTCAAGATATCATGGACAATCCTATTATAGATGCAAGAAAGAAGTCATTTTTTACTTTTATTTTGTTGGTCATGGGGCTTGAACTCTGGGCCTGGGCACTGTTCCTCATCTCTTCAGCTCAAGGCTAGCCCTCTACCACTTGAGCCACAGCGCCACTTCCAGCAGTCATTTTTTAGAACTAAGATATAGACATCTCCCAATAAATGAGTACACACAAAAAAATGGTGAGGCAATTTTTGTTGGTGAATTTTCACCCTTAACTTCTAGAAGTGTAATTTCACATAACTATGGCAATGGGTTGTAATATGTTGGGATGGAGCATTGCTGGATTCCTCAGGGAAGTAAGACAGAGAAAACAAATGCAAGACTGAACTATATTATATTACTTCTGCAAAGAGTTAAGTGGATGGAGCAATAGTCCCAAGGCTTTTCTCAACAGCACTTCTGTACATGAAAACGACACTCTCCTGGGTTTGTTTGGGTTTTACTGATAAGATTGAAACACAGTAAATATTTATGTGTCCTCATATTCTACCTAAGGCCTATCTTGTCCCCTAAACTGGAAAGCATTGTTGGAAATGTCAATATATCATCTGCACATGTCCTGTGCAGAGAGGCCTGGCCTAAACCCAGAAGGGTGGCCTGCAATGTGAGGCTGAAGAGTACACCCTGTGTGGAATGCTCACACTTGCACATGTCCTGAGTGTACACTGTTGGCAGCTACAGAGCTTTCTCATCTCATGTCCTCACAGCTCACTAAAGAACCGCAACTTTTTGGTCTCTGCTCTCTGCTAGTCAGCCTTTCCCCTTTCCTCCTCCTTTATTCTCCCTCAAAGGAATCTTCTGTTGTTGTTGCCAGTGCTGTCATCACATTGCCCTGGGTCTGATGGCAAAAGCAGAAGTAAATCCAGAGAAGTTACAGGTTTCTTTATGGGGGGGTGGGAATTATAACATTCTTCACTATTCTTTTCTCATACTGAGTTTTCAATCATGATCAAGTTGTATTCATATCATCAGGAAGCAGTTAAAGCTACTCATATTGGGGAGGGTAAAAAAGGAAGAAAGCAATTCATGGAACACCAATTCTTTCCCTTCCTTCTGCTCCCCCCCACCTCCATTTTCGTATGTGTGTGTGTGTTTATCTCCCTTGGGGAAGGGGCATCATAGAAATGGGGGCACCAAGGGTGAGCCCATGCAGCAGTAGTGCTCTGGGGTCGCTAAGTTGTAAAGAAACTTTTTAACTTGGAGGGAGGGGAGGGGGAGGAAATGGGGGAACCACAGCCAAGCAAGAACTGGACTCCTTAACTCACTTAGGTAACTGTGACCCTCCTGGGGAGAGGGTGAGATGGAGGCCAATCAACAGGGAGCAGCCTCTCCAGCTGTAACCCAGCCCGAAATCTGGGTCCTAAGGCACACTCCTCCCCCAAAGACTGACCACAGCAGATACATACAAGTCAGGGGAACTGCACACAGCTCACAACTTCCATGTGAGAAGGAGAATGGCCAGAGAATCCCCCTTCCCCGCCTTCTCCTTCCCCTTCTGCTCCCCCCACCCCATGTCCCATGCCTGCAGCTGCCCAGCAGCTCCAGGACTCACCTGTGGGGCACTGCTTAGGAAAATCCCCTCAAACTGCAACCCAGACAGCAGGTACAGCAGGGATAGACACAGAGACAGTGGGAGACACAGAGAGAGCGGCCTAGCGTCCCGGCAGCCAAGCAGTCAAGTAGGGGGAGCGGCCGAGCTCCTGGAGCTGGATGGCAAGCAGCCAAGAGAGTGGCAGAGGCCTAGCTACTAGCCTGCAGCCCTGAGGTCTGGTGGGGGGAGCAGCCCAGCTCAGGGAGCTACAGGGTGGCTGGAGCAGCCCCAGAGAGTGGCAGAGGCCTAGCTACTAGCCTGCAGCCCCAACGTCTAGTGGGGGGAGCAGCCCAGCACAGGGAGCTGCCAGGAGGCAGGAGCAACCCCCTGCATGTCCATCTCTAAGACCAGAATCTAACCACCCAGTCCCTGCTGCAGACCTGACCCTCCTCCCTCCCACTGCCCCAGGGGTTTGCTGGCCTGGGGACCCAGTTGGGCAGCCCACAGCCAGGCACCAGGGGGCCAAGCTGGAGCCAGGACGCTGACCATTTCTGAATCCAAATGCCTAAATCACAACCCTAGATTACCATGTTCATGAGCAGCCAAGACAAACCAAATCCAACCGCCCACAACAGTCCAGGGAAGGACTCCAGTGAGAATGAAGAAAAGATTTGCAAAACTTATTTTTCTTATCTTTAAGTAATTGTACTCGGCCACTTTAGGATCAAAGTCACATCTCCTGGCATCCTCCGCATCTTTCCCCACCTCACACGGCCACACCTGTCACCTGGTCCCATTTCACATGCACACATGGAATATTATGATTGTATTCTCCCACCCTTCCTCTCTCCATTTGTCCACCCCTCTCCCCTTTGAAGAAGACACACCACCATGTACAGCCACACAGGGATGTGCCAGAGTTGGTCATGAGGCAAAGTCAGAAAAGCAAACTGTTGACACATGAAGGCGCTAGATGGCTTTAGGATTACCAATTTACTTTATGCGTTAACCTGCAAAATTTGTGTTCACTCCCATAGTTTCAGTCTCTAGCTTGGAATTATTTAAAGTCTTCAGTTGTTTGGGAGCAAACCAGGAGTGACATGGGAGTTTCTACCCAACATCCAAGAAAGGTTAAACATCCACATACAAAATTAAACATATGGATGATTGCTACTACATGCATATACATATATATATACATACACACCTATATACATATAAATATATACATATAAATATATATGTCAGTCATGGGCTTGAACTCGGCCTGGGCGCTGTCCTTCAGCTCTTCAGCTCAAGGCAAGTGCTCTACCACTTGAGCCTCAGTGCCACTTCTGGTTTTCTGAGTGGTTTATTGGAAATAAGACTCCCACGAACTTTCCTGCCCAGGCTGGCTTTGAACCACGATCCTCAGATCTCAGCCTCCTGGGTAGGTAGGATTTCAGGGAGCCACCAGCACCTGGCTTTAAAATATTTTTGTACCTCTTTTTGTCTTTGTTGGTCATGAGGCTTGAACTCTGGGCCTGGGAGCTGTCCCTCAGCTCTTCAGCTCAAAGCTAGTGTTCTAGCACTTTGAGCCACAGTGCTACTTACTTTAAAATATTTTGAATCCCTAGGTGGCTGACTCTATGTGTGAAGAACTCATAGATATAATGCACTGGCACCTCGTTTGGATAACAGCAAATGTATGTTTAAAACTGATTAGAATTGTCCACATCAGTTATGAAGAGAACCAACTAAAAGTGCTAAGTAAACAATTCCAGAAAAGAACGATGTGGTTTTTATATTAATAAATAATTTAAAATACAACTAAGGGCTGTTTATGCAGTAAAAAGAGTCAAAATACTGACATATATGTTGACATAATGTTATACTAAATGTGTGACAAAAAGGGCAAGATTGCAATGGTAAGTAGACATTTTCCTAAATTTAGATTTTTGGATGCTTGATTACAAAGTTGTCTATCTGCTTTTAGACATCCATAAATAAATGCTATTAAAAGTTTTAGGTTTTATAATCTGGAAACTATTCATTTGGAAAAGGACAAATCTCTGCCCTTGACCATTGGAACAGAATGGGAATTTCTGGTAGAGTCCAAACATTCAAAACTTGTCTTGATCACTAAGTAGCAATTAATAAGAATTTCTTAATGTCAAGACAGTACAGGATACTTACCATATTTACCAAATATTAATTAACACTAAGGGTAAATTCTCAACAATGACCTTCTGTTGTTCAAATGAATGCTAATAGTTTGGGACTCTTAATCTCCCTATTAAATGGAAGAGCCTGAATCTGACCACAGTTTTGTTTGAGTGCAGTAAAATTTTAAAAAATGAAACAAGGCAGAAATGAGTACATAGATATCTGATTTTATTTCGTAGGTGGTGGGGCTTGAACTCAGGACCTGGTCACTGTCCCTGAGCCTCTTTGTGCTCTACCAATTGAGCCACATTGCCACTCTGGTTTTTCAGTGGTTAATTGGAGATAAGAGTCTCATGGGGACTTTTCTGCCATTGTTGGCTTCAAACTGCAACCCTCAGATCTCAGAAAAGGTGCCTGGAAGATAGCTGATTTTTATCACAGGGTAAGATGTGGGGATTCAAGGTTTAAGTTGGAAATTTATTACAAAATAAAATATAAGACAAATTAAAAAAAAAAAACCCTTCAGTCTTGAACTGTGTTTCTTCAGTACCACAAACCTCATTTGATACCAATCTGTCTTGTTATTCTCACTCATTAAGTAACTTGGCTTCTTCCATCCTGTGAAACCTGAATTTGGACTTTGAAATTTCTAACTATACCTGGGTTATGATTCTGATCATTGACACTGTCTATTTTCAGCAGAGAACTTACTGTTTTCTGTATTAGGATTTAGTCCCATCATTAAATTTTACCTCTAGTGTTCTATAATGTAGAACTTTCGTCTTGGATACAATGTACCCAAGACTTCATTTGACCACTTAGCCATGGTTAAGGAGCCTTTGCTCCACTCACATGACAACTCAAATGCAATACATTATCCAAGCAGTCTTCAGTAATAATCTCTTTTGCCTCTGCAGAGTCTTGGTGTTTAAGAAAAGCTTGAAACTCAATTAAAATCACCAAGTAAGTGACAGCATCAGATAACAGTAGATATAACATTTCAGCAGTAAATAAGCATCTTTTTGACACAAGCAGGTTATCATCAAAAGTTCGTCATGGCCTATAGTGATGAATTCTAAAGAGGTTTTATATGTTCAAATTTCATTCAGCCAGTATCTCACTGAGAGGATACAAAGAATAAGCCAGACAAAGACAGCTGATCAACTGCACTGAAGATTTAGGACAATCCTGTTTATTCATTTATCACCTTTCACAAGTTGGTTCAATATTGCTATTTATGTCAACACATTTATAGAAAGTGAGATTGAGTCAGTAACCAACCTTGCTTGCAAAGCTAAGCATTGGAGTGAATTACTTACCCCATGAACTCTACACAATACTAGAATTCATTTTAGTCATACCTGAGTATTGTTCAGTCCTATAAACTTAGCTACTCAGGAGACTGATATCAGTGGAACAAGGTTCAAAACAAGCCAGGGCATAACAGTCCAGGAGATTCTTTCTACATATAACGAAGAAAAAGCCCAGAGAGGGATATGGTTCAAGTGGTACAAAAATGTGAGACCAGAGTACCTGAGTACAACTATTCTGCATTGAAAAAATGAATTGGCTAGGCGCCGGTGGCTCACGCCTGTAATCCTAGCTACTCAGGAGGCTGAGATCTGAGGATCCCAGTTCAAAGCCAGCCCGGGCAGGAAAGTTCCTGAGAGTCTTACCTCCAATAAACCACTCAGAAAACCAGAAGTGGTGCTGTGGCTCAAGCCACAGTAGAGCACTGGCCTTGAGCTGAAGAGCTGAGGGACAGCACCCATGCCCAGAGTTCAAGCCCCACAATCAACAAAAAAAAAAGAAAAAAGAAAAAAGGAACTTGTTGCTGCTGCCAGCTACAGAACAGTACCACACTGTGGTAGTAGCTTTGGGCCATGGTGGATAAAAACAGTGAAATTCTTACACAGTGAGTCTTACTCTTTTCCACTGGATATTTGTGATGTTTCTACACATAATTCTTTGTTTACCAGTAACTGTATTACTGTTAACTAGTCAGTGACAGTAGGTTTTTGATGTTTCTTTGGGAGAGCTTGGACCTTCTCCTTCCAACATTTTGTTGATATCGTCTCCAACTAACATGCTAAGTTCATGCAGATCAGTAGCCTCCATTTTGTAAGTACATCCTAATTGTCATAAAGCCTTCGAACCACTCCAAAGCAAGGCAAAGTATGTCTAATTTTTTTTCTTACAAGTAGAGCTACCCAAGACTTCTAATCTCCTGTGTGTGTGTGTGTGTGTGTGTGTGTGTGTGTGTGTGTGTGTGTGTGTGTGTGTATACACATGCACATGTTTATGCTAGCACTAGGGCTTTAATTCATGCCCTCCTATACTCACTTCGTTTTCTTTTGCTCAAAGCAGATGGCTTATGTCTTGGTCCCTGTCTCCACTTCTAGCTTTTTGCTGGTTAGAGAATGAGTCTCCAAGACTGGTTTCAAATCTTCATTCCCAGATCTCAAGCTCTTGAGTTGTTAGGATTGTAAGTGTGAGCCACCAGCATTCAGCTCAGCCTATATTTGATGAAAAATGTGAAAAGCTCTCTACTCTCTTCAGGATGGAATGATGTAGAAACTATTTGGTATAGTAGCTTTCCCAAGGAGGGATGTGTTCAACTCCTTCCTGATGACCTAGCATCTCATCTCAATCCTGCTCTTGATCACTGCTAATGACTCACCCACTTCACCAGAGTTCAAACCTCCACAGGAATACTTCACTCTCCAGTTTCTAGGTGCTTCGATATGGAGCTGCCCTGAGACCAGTGATCATCCTTGCACTGTAACTCTCCTTCAACACTAAGAACCTTCAACTCAATGTCATGCACTGGAGGAACATTGACTGTTAATTTCCTGCTAACCATTATTTTCCTGAAACCTGAGAACAAGACCATCCTCACCTCTCTAATGTCCACAGTTTGGCCATTAATAGCCAAGTGTAATGATGCATGCCTATAATCCTGGCACTCAG